CGCTGCAGTGTTATAGCTGCTTGGCGCTGTTGTAGGAAACTGTTTCGCTCCCGTTTCCTGAGGAGATGACTACGCCAATGCTTCTGCAGACAGCTAACGGCAGCCTGGGTGCCGCGGTACTTGGCTCGCATGAAGCGCATTGATTTGTTAGCATGGAATCTGCGTTGGAGCTTTATGGTCACCTCGCGGAGATGCAGGTATTCCTGACGTTCCTTTCGCATTTGCAGTAAAGCCCGCCGACGTTGCTGGACTGCCAGGGTAACCTTTTTCAGCTGGAGAAACTCGGTTCTTTGCTTTTCCATTTCGCGCTTTGCACGGTACTTGATTTGAATTAACCTGGTTGCCGATTGGAGCTGAAGGTAGTTCTTTCTTTCTCGATGCATCTGCAGTGTGGCTCTCCAGCGCCTCTGGACATTGATGATGCATTGGCGGGTTCTTAAATATACATTGCGATCCTGGATCATTTGTTGAAGCATGCGGTAACGTCTTTGAACGAGTATCGTTGCATTACGCAGCTTCAGATAATTTTGCCTCTGTTCGCGCATTTTCATGGTGGCCCTCATCCGCTGCTGCAAGCGGATAACATTTTTCCGGAGAGAGCAGTAGTGATTGCGATCCATTCTCATCTGGATTGTGGCTCTCCGGTAAGCCTGAACTTTAAGAACGCTGGAACGAAGTGCCAAATAATCAGCGTTGCACTTTCTCATTGAAAGCTTCGCTCGCCAGCGCTGCTGGACATTTATGGCTGCACGCTTTAGTTGCTGGAACTCCTTTTGCTGCTTCAGCATAATCCACTTGCTTCGCATCCTGCGCTGGACAAACATGATGAGGTCTCTTTGCCGCAGGAACTTCTGTCGCTGAAGTTTGCCTAACTGATGGCTCCGCCATTGCACTTGAATATAACTGGCAGCTGCCTGTTGTTTTTGGGATCGCTGAAGTCTGGCTGTTTCCGCCGCCGCCAATAGCTTTTTGGCAAAGAGGCGTCGCCGCCAGATACGCTGCAGAAAGATGGCAGCCTGCCGGAGCTCCAGGAACCGCTGGCGGTATTGCCTTCCCAGTTGTTGGGCCCGCCACCAGCGCTGGATGGTGACAATGCTGTGATAGCTGTGATAAAGCTGCTTCTGTGCCAAATACCGACGCGTGAACTTCTGCATGATTATGGCGGCCTGTGTGCGTTCCGCCCTGAACAATTTGACGTACTTTCTCATCTGGTGGCCGCGGAACACGGCCTGAATGACAGTAGCGGCCCGGTGGCGACGCATAAGCTCCTTGTGGCGGATGCGCCGCTGGATGATAACGTGCAGCCAGCGACGGCGCCACCATTTCTGAAGCACCGTGGCCGCTGCATGGAACTTGGGCGAGCGGAATTTGTAAATAATTTGCCAGAGCAGGGAAAGCGTCTTCTCACGATGCCCGTCCACGATATCTTGGGCGGATATGTCGCCGCCTAGCTGGAAGTTGGCCTCGCTAAGAGCTCGCAGAGCTAGCTTTACATTGAAAATCCGCTGGAGGCGAGAGATGGCTGGCACTCTCAACTGGCGGGTTAGATCATCGCGCAGTAAAATGACCTCCATGACGCGGGTAAGTCTCACGCCATCTCTTAAGTCCACAGCCAAGTTGTTGAAGGCATAATCGAACTCGTCCAAAAAAGTTTGGCGGTGCTGAAGAACGTAACCCAAGCGGCGCAGTTCCCGCGTAATATCCCCAATGTTGGCCAGCAGTTCTGACGAAAAGCGCAGCAGAATATCCTTGGTCTCCTTATGTGGCGACTTTTTAACAAACAAACAGGGATTGTGTTTGACGATGCGCTTCTGCTTTGCTTGATCGAGGAAAAGCAGCAAGAAGAGGATTTTCTGCAACGAGTGCTTCTTGATGGTCTCCGCGTACTCCTCGGTGAGCGTGTATGCCTTGCTGTACCTCTGCTCCTCAAACTTATTCCGGAACAAGCGATTGAGGATAAAGGTGCTAAGGCCAACAATGTCTCGGTTGGACTGCATCTGGATCTTCTCGCCGAAGACCACCTCCAGTCCAAGGCGCAGCCAAAGAGGATTGAAGCAAAGTAGCAGCTCAAGAATGGTGCGTTGCATAACAACGTCCAGGTGAAGATTACGATCGCTACGGATGCGCAACGCTTGCTTGTTGACATAGACGGCCACCTTGGAGCACGGCATGCGCATCTGCTCACTGAAGAAAAGCTCAACTGCAGCCTTACGTAGTGTCTCCAGTCGGTATTTCGTTAGGTAGTTCATAGACTGCTGCTCCTTGGTGGGAGCCACCACGAGCTCCTTGTTGCGCACCTCGTTAAACAGCTTACCGACGTCTATTTTGCTATTCGAATCTGCGTCCAGGTCAGCAGGTATGGAAACAAGGGCATTTAACCACTTTTTGAAGTCATCTTGATGACGATCGACAGCCTGTTCATCCAAGTACATGGTAGAGGCCAAAAAGGGGTCCATTGTGGTAGTTGCAGCAAAAGGATCCGGGTTGATGTAGGTCTGCATGTACAGCTCGGAATCGTAGAGCTTGACGGAAGCCTGAACAGCATCCCTGACTTTTCGTGGCGTCGCGGGCTTCTTCATCAGTGACATGGTCTGCGCCAGCTTAAACTTCTTGGGCTGGGCGTGTGGCCAGGCGTGAGCACTACTGCTTCGGGCAGATGCATTTGCCGGCGCTGCACTCCTGGTCAGAGTAGTGTCCTCCACTCGTTGCTTTTTAGGCGGAGAAATGGCCATAGTTTCATTGCGGTACAGTGATTCGTTGCTAGGTGCATCCGAGAAACTCAGCTCATGGGAGCGGCGCTTGTGAGGATTCTTCACCGGACTTCTCTTCACTGACTTTCGACCTACTTCGTGCAGATTAAAACGACTGGACTGAGCTAGGATTTCACTGTGGTTGAACAGAAACTCCTGCTGGCCCGCCAAGCTAGCCTCACTACTAGAGGAGCTATTCAAGTCTCTACCCTTTATCTGGATCTGCTGCTCCTGGTAGTATCGATTCTGTTCAATAGAACGGATTTTCATTTCATTCAGATTAGGCATTGAGCCTTGAATGGCATACTTCGATTGTGGCGATAGAAGTGATAAATCTTTCATGGATTCGGAATATTTTCGTAAGGGTGAGCCCACCAACTTGATATCCCTCTTCAGGTCTTGTATGGCGCTCTTCGTGGGCGTCCTAGGTGGACTTGGTCCCTCCTCTTCGTGAATACAGGCAAGGGCTCTAGTGTGCGTGCCATGCACAATGATGGTGGTCTTATTTAGGGGCGTATGCGGTTGTCCATCGTTCCTGGAGCAGTCCAAGGTGTCCAACGAAATGTTGATAGTCTCGGAATGCTTTACATCGAACGTTTTGTTTGAGACAGGCTGATCTTCTAGATCATCTGGAGTAATTCGACGCGGGCGCATATCATTGGCACATGGTTTTACATTCCCTTTAAGTGTGGGTGTGGGCCAGGCGGCCAGATTGTCCGGCAAAATCGTAGCTTGTCCTTTGCCACGTGTTTCGGTGAGAGGTGTGAACCGCAGATTGTCAATCACATCGAGTAGGTTTCCTGGCGTCATAGGGCTTAGATTTTCCTTAAGACTGCGAGGCTGTGGGGATGTGTAAACGGGCTCCTCTTGTGGGGGCTTATATACATTCTTCTCAACAAGAGGAGCCTGTGGAGGCGGATGTGGACGGGCAGCAGAACGCACAGGAGCAGTCACTCGCCATGTCTGCTTGGAGGGAGGCGCTGCTGCTGCAGACAAGCGCTTCTTTTGCTGCACAGCAGCGGATATTACGCTTTTCTTGCCTGCTCCGGTCGGCGATTTCAGCTGCAGGGTCTTGCCGACAGTAGGAAATTTGCGCGGGTTCTTCAGGTAGAAAGGTAAGAGATACGTGCAAAAGAGGGTAAGTAAGTAAAAGGGGTGGTAAATGCATTTTTCGACTGACCTTGACCGGTTGGTTGCTCTTGGACTTGAGAATGATCATCACCTCTTTTCGGAAGTTGCGGTTGTCAATCAACTGCAGCGTCTCCTTGCAGGCCACCTCAAGCTGGGGGCTCCAGACTAGCTCCATGGAAACCTCGTCTCTTGCAGGCACCGTGTGCTCCATCCACTCCAGGCTTAAGTTGTGCTCCTCTCGGATGGCCTTCATAACCTTGACCTGTATAGTGGGTGTTCCATTGATCAAATATTAGTTGCCAGGCAGTTTATAACCCACTAACCTCGATGTCTTCGTCGCTGGGATTGAGAACGCGCACCTGGCGCCGAGCTGTCTTTGTTATCGGCACATCCTCGAACTGTACAATCGCCTTGGCGGAGAACGGAGCCATGACGACCACGGCGGGCTCGCGTCCTTCGGCGCGCTTCTTTTGCTTTAGCCGCGATGGCGTCACTGTGATCTGTAAGTACAGGGAATTCAGTTATTTTCGGGAAACTACTGCCGGAGTCCCAAGGAGAGGACTCAACTAACCTCAAAGGCGCTCATCGCAGGGAATGAACAAAACAGAAATAATTCGAACTAAGTAAAAACGGGCTAACTTAGTGGCCCATTAACACAGCGACTAACTAAACAATTAACACAATTAACGAACAACAATTAAACAAATTAGAGCGTCTTAGCAAAAATCCAAATTCGAACTGAAATTCGAAACGAAGTGACGCCGATTCTCGATTGTTTGATTGCTGGCGCAAAGGGCTATCGAATTATCGGAGCTATCGATTGTGAAATATTAGGGGGCTTCAGAATAGTTTTCGATAGATTACAAATTTAAATATTAAATTTGTTGTCACTTGATTTTTATACTTGAATTATTAAATATGGTGAGACCATACTGAGGATTATTATTTTATGTCTTTCTTTTTTTTGACCCGCGTAAGAAGTTCAGACTTGCTAACAGCATTAATCGATATCTTTATGTTATGTTGCAATGTTATATTGCCGCCAAATTCATAAACATTTTTTATAGATATAAATATTAGGTGAATTTGAAAACAAGACATATTATTATAAATGGCTCCTTTACATATGTAATTTCAAAATATTTTTATTCACAATCTATTTACAAATTTCAACAACAAACTAAATTTCTCCGCAGGACCTATCTGTTTTTCTAAATGAGTCTGCTGGGCGGCAGAAGATGGTCGCTACCCGTTTCTGAGGAATACATGCTCTTCAGATAGCCCGGAAAGGGTGTAACCGCATCGAAATCCTCGCCTACAGAATCCACCGGTGGATCCACAGCCATGAAAGAGATGGCGAAGCCCCTCAGTGAATTACTCTCGTCCGTTTGGAATCGCAGCAGGAGGGTGTCCGAGTTGGAGATTATAATGGGAGGCTTGTGCTTTCCGCAAAATCTCCCGTGGATGGTGTTCATCGAGTAGCCTTCCTCTGTGATCTCCAGGTAATCGTAGTCGCATCGTTCCGAGTACTCGATCTCGAAGTGCAGGAAGCGGATCTTGACACTGCTTTCAGGATCCGCCTGAATGCGCCAGTCGCAGTACATGTTACGCTTATACGGCCTACTACCGTATCGTGGATGCGAGTAGAAGGTCTGCGAATGATTTGTGGCCCTCAAGTAGCCACCACACTCGGAAACAAAGGTGGCCTTGAAGCCCTTTCTCTGCAGACCCGCATCCGTGGCCAGTACCATGAACATCTCATTGGTGGAGGCAATAACGGCATACGGCTCACGTCCACCGCAATAGATGCCCAATGTGGAGCTGTTCTCGGAGCGACCATCATAGATAGCCACATAGTCGTAGATGCACTCCTGGTGGCTCTCCACCTCAAAGTCGTGGAATGTCAACTGTATCCGGTGGCCCAGTACGGTCTGAAAGTGCCAGTAGCAGTAGATGTTTCTCGGATAATCCTCCGGATAGTTGGGACTCTGCAACACTCCATACGATGTGGTGATCTCGAACTTGCAACGCGTCTCCGTGCAGTTGTGTCCATTTTCAGCCAATGTGTATCCATTCCGGCAGCTGCACTGGTAGGATCCAAAGGTATTCCGGCATCTGTGCTGGCAGCCACCATTGTTCATTGAACACTCATCCACATCTGTTGCATAGAGATATTATTGATTATTAATAAGTAAATTAAGTGTTGTTTTCGTAGTTACCTATCACAAACTTGGCCACAAATCCACTTCTCTGGACAGTGCGATCGGAGTAGAACTCCAGCCTGAGGACACTCTGCTCGGAGTTCACCACCGGAGGCAGTTCATGACCGCAATAAATGCCTATCTTCTTCAGGCGATTATCCCTCATTTTGGAGTATATTATCAGATAATCATAGTTGCACTTGGTATAGTGGAACCGCGTGCCCTCCAAATCAAAGTGGGTGAAGTTCAGGAAGACAGCGTGATTCGGTGGCGCAACCACTTCCCAAACGCACTGTTTGGAGTTGGGATACACATCCGGATACGATGGTGAGTAGAGCGTGCCATTGGATTTGGTGGCGTCCACTACTCCTCCACAAGCATCCTCGCAGGTCTTTCCATTCGCCTGCAACTCGTATCCTGCTCGACAGCCACATTGATAGCTACCCAAGGTGTTGATGCACAGGTGCTGGCATCCGTGATCCGTGAACTTGCACTCATCCACGTCCAGCATCAGGGCGGCTGAGAATCCCAGCTTTTGCACCGACGAGTCGGATACGAAACGGATGTACATCTGGTTGCTGCGGGTTCTAGGTGGAGGTGCCAGATATTCACTTGGTTAGTGATCTTTTTTCCTTCACAAGTAACTTACTTTATATTGGGCGGAAGTTTATCTCCGCAGAAGCGTCCTATGAGCCGGGAATCACTGTGATTGCCATCCCGTATCTCCACATAATCATAGGTACAACCATCGTGTTTTTCCAGCTCAAAGCTCTGGAACTTCAGGGCCACCTGGTGGTTATCCGGAGCCGTAATGCGCCACACGCACTCTTTGTCGGGCATGTAGTCCAGCGGATAGTTGGGTGAGTCTATGGACTGATCCTTGGTCAGCTTTATATCCCCGCCACATACCACTTGAAGGTTAAAATGTGGAATTTAATTTTTGTTTTTCCTTGAAAAGTTTGCAACTTACCTTCGAATCTCGCCTTGAATCCGCGATAACCTTTGGCTGCATTCCGGTTGACATAGTTGAGGAGCATGCGACTTGTCTGGGTGGTGATGACCTCGCCGCTGACATTTCCGCAGATTCGTCTCACCAGAGGCGATTTGTGCCAGTAGCCATCCCTAATCTCCAGGTAATCCTGAGTACAATCATCGGAGCTCATCAGATGCAGCTGCTGCAGATGCAAGATGACCTTTTCCCCATTGGTGGCCGTGATCCGCCACTCGCAGTTGGTCAGCGAGGCATCGAACTCAGATCCCGCGGAGGGATCTTCTCCAGCATCACCGCTACCCTCGAACTCGCTGAGCACTCCATTGCCGGAGTACACAAAGTGTGGACTCACTATGTGTCCTGAATTCTGCTGATAAGTTCGCCCACAGGAGGCGCACTTGTAAAGCAGATTGGCTTGAACAATATCCCCGCGACTAAGACGCCTCCGCTGACCCAACTCCAAATGGGTTCCATGTGGAATTCCTATCGGTGTGATGGTGTCCAGGTAGGGACTCTTCGAAAACGAGTTCTTGGCATAATGCATAATGGAGTTAAGATCGTAGGGCAGTAGGGGCAAGTCCACCTCCTCCGGCGAGAGGACGTCAAAGTTGTACTCCTGACCCCGCATGATATTCGCCTTGTTAATCACGATGTGCTTATCTCTGTCTCCGCGGGCATGTTCATGGTGAAAACCGATTGTGTGACCCAGCTCATGAATTATAATGCCAAACTTTTCGCAATTGCGTCCAATGGAGATGGGCTGGCGTCCGTTCCCATTCTTACCCAGAAACGAACAGCAACTAGGGATATATATTATAAAATAATTCTTCTTATAAGGAATTCAGACTCACCCGCAATTCTTGACTGTAAAGTATATATAGTTCGCATGCAAATTGGCATCCCGCTCCACGAATTTGATGCAGGTGAAGTTCTCCCAGTGGCGCATGGCCTGCTTGAAGAGCGCCTTGTGGGCTCCACTGAAGATGGTATCGATCTCGTAGGGTATGACCCCATAGTCCCAGGTCCGCTCCTTCCTCACGGTAACAGCTCTTCGCCTTCTCTGGACTGCTTTGCCATGTAAGGTGGGTGAGTGACTGTGCTGCAGGACATCAACGGAATCATCGGTCCACAGAAATGGAGGGGGTAATCTCGGAGCGGCTTTGTCTCGCGATTTATGCCCCTGCTTCCGGCGTCTCCTGTGTGGGTGGTTCAGATGGGCAGGGAGGGCTTATGAGCTCAGGTATTACTTACGTGCCCAGAGGCAGGCACTCCAGTGGCCAAGGCAAGTGTCTTGGCTAATTGCGCCCCATTGTGTGCGGAATAAATCCCAGTGGAACTTACCCCGAATATTGTCCGTCAGCCTTCAGTGGATGGATGTCATCCTTTGGCTCCTTGGGCGGCACCTGTTGTGGTAATGCTGGAGATTGCAATTTTATGCTTGGCCACGTGACTCCGCCACTCACCTGTGGAGAATCCAGCAAGCCAAAAAAGTCCTCCGGCTGCTCCTTGAAATCAAAATCGCACTCACTCTCGGGCTGCTGACTCAGTCGCCTGCCCTCGGCGGAATCCACCAGAAAAACCATCATTATCGTCCAGAGAGCTCCCACAGAGAGCACAACTAAATTCGCTTTCATTTTCATGGGTATGAGGCGCATTCCTTTCATTTCTTGGGTATTTCTGGGGGCTCGTTCCCTGAAGTTGCTTCAACCAGTTCAAAGTTCTAACTGAGCGCTCGTGGACCGCGATTGCCGAATTATACTGGTGCCGACAAGGGTTCCACGGATCGAGTGAGTGAGCAGCAGGTAACAGATCTCAGCTCGTAGGGGAATCGGTGGACGAGGGGCGGGGCAGGCCAGTGCAGATTCTCGACTGACCGCTCGAAGGGACAGCTCAATAGAGGGAGAGGCGAGAGCCATAACCAGACCTGATCCGACCCCTCCTCATTGGCGATTCGGGATGACCATTGTCTGCCGCCTGTTGTTTGCATTCAATGGATTTTGATTTGGGTATCCCTGCTCGCACCTTGACATTGCCCATCCATACATGTATATGACCATCTACCTGGGTCGCTGGCCGGGCTCAGGGGCATTTGCCCAGGATCAGGTGTTGCTTAGGCGGCGGGTTCGAGCCTTTTAGGGCAGGTCATTAATGATCATAAATCCGCCGCATGAACGAATCGTTTCGCGGTAATTCCACCTACAAATGCTATTCAAGAGCCATGGCGCTTCTGCCTGGAGTCGCAAGGTGGAACCTAGGGCCATAAACCCATAAAGCCGAACACCGTAAATAACTTTCCTTAAACTCGTTTTGTTTTGGTTTTAAAACATAGTTACTATGCAAGTTTTAATAGTATGTATGTATAGATTTAATTACGTATTAAGTTGAGTCAAATATCCGAGAGTTGTACATATGCCTGTGTGAAATATTCAATCCATCTGCGAGGACCTTCCACTTTCGGTGCTTCCGAAGATATGTGTGTATCTCTTTTCTATCCTAACTTCCGTTCCGATTTTGATATGGGCCACCCATCGACTTACGCTAAGATGCCTAACGAAATGCACTCCATCATCACCATTACATATGGCACACTATAGAATGTAGATATAGATATCCGAAAAGAAAATGCATCAGAGAAAAAAGCAGTCAAATGCAAAGAGGAAACAGGAAAGAGGAATTGCACATTTAGCTACAGAGTCTAGAGAAGTCTAGTCAAAGTACATTACATGTATGACATAGGTCTAAGTAATTGCCACCGCAGATCTTAGTCGACTGGAACCTAACAATGTGTGTTTCGAGTGCCTAAAACTAGTATTGGATCTTTGATTATATCCTGGACTTGGCCAGAAGAGTGCGCGTGGAAGATCGGGAAAGTCTGTTTTATGTACGCGACGATATGCCTAAATCTGTTAAATAAATTCCGTTTTAATATATTGTCATGTATTCTGGCGCACGGTCAGTGGTTCCACCATCGCCCTATGCCTTGCCGGAGTAGTACCGATTGGGCAGACTATATCGACCACGATACTGCCCATTGAAGACCAGTTGATTGCCGCTGAAGTCGCTGTACTCATCGGTCTCCTCCTGCGTGTCCTCGATGTAGATGCTCTTCAGGGAACCCGGAAAGGGGGTGACCATCTCGGAGCTGTACGAGTTCTCCACATCCTCGTCGGAGTGGTCATACTCCCCGGAATTCGGCACGGCCACATAGGAGGCGGAGAAGCCCTTCATCGGCACCGAGCCGTCGGTCTTGAAGCGCACGAGCAGAGAATGGGTCATGGAGTTGATGTCCTGCGGCAGCTGCAATAAATAAAGCTTAGCTTCCCAGCTCTCCGGATAACCAAAATAGTTACACCCACCACATTGCCACAGTACTGTCCGTACATGGGCCCATACTGTCCGTACACATCGTCTATGTCTGAGAACACCTGCACGTAGTCGAAGGTGCAGTTCTCGCTGCTCTCGATGTCGAAGGTGAGGAATATAAGCTGGACGTAGCTGTTGTCCGGAGCGGCGATGGTCCACTCGCAGTCCATGCCGTCGTCGTAGTCCTGGTTCCCGAACCGGGCGTGCGAGTAGAACTGCTGCACCTGGCTGGTGGCACGCAAATATCCCCCACAGGCTGCAAGTAAATTATCGAAATGTTGGAGCTGCAGCAGGCTTAGGATTTCAACACCATCGTACCCGTGGAGTGGGAGGCGGTGAAGCCGTTCTTCTGCTTGTTCTTGTCCGTCTTGAGCACCATGTACATTTGGTTGCTGGTGGAGGAGATGGGGAAGGGAATCTTATCTCCGCAGAAGCGACCCAGTACCGAACTGGACTCGGATTCCCCATCGTAAACTGCCACGTTATCGTAGCTGCATTCCTGTGAGAAATTCAATGCAAATTACACAGCCTTAAGTAACGTCTCTATGTGGAATAGCAGAAACTAGTAGCTGGAAAGGACTATACCACTTGCTAAAAGCTATTTTGTTATGCCCACCTGATGCGATTCCACGTCGAACTCGTTGAAAATCAGCTTGATGCGGTGCCCCGGCGTGGTAATGAAGTGCCACACGCAGTCCGCATTTGGGGGATAGGAGTCCGGGTAATTGGGACTGAAGATGCTGCCGAAGGGGGCGGAGATCTCGTACTTGCACTCGCCCTCCTTGCAGTCGTGGCCATTCTCGTGCATGGAGTACCCGTTGTGGCACATGCAGATGTAGGATCCAATGGTGTTCCGGCACTCGTGCTGACACCCACCATTGTTCACGGCACACTCGTCGATGTCCGTGAAGAAGACGGCCGCGAAACCCGATCTCTGGATGGACTTGTCCGAATGGAACTCCAGTCTCAGCGCATTGCTCTCGGACGTGGCCGTCGGCGGAATGCTGGAGCCGCAGAAGGTGCCGATCCGCTTCAGACGATTCTCGCCCAGCTTTGAGTAGACGGTGACCGAGTCGTAGCCACAGTCCGATTGCTGATGCACCGTGCCCTCCAGGTCGAAGTGGGTGAAGTTGAGCGATATCCTGTGCTTGGGCGGCGCCACAATCTCCCAGATGCACTCCTTCAGCAGAGGGTACATCTCGGGAAACGAGGGCGAAGTGATGGTGCCATTCGGATACTCGATAACTCCGCCACAGGCATCTTAATAGAAAGGGAGAAATTCAATTAAAATCTTATATAATTCTAGTTATTGATAGTTCGTATGTCGACTCATTAACTGATTAATATGTAACTTTTTCCTTAAACTGCAGTTTATGCTGAATTTATTAAACCCATGGATTGGTTGGGCATTTTATGGTTAATATGCTCTTTTTTACAGCCATTTTGTATTGTCCTCTTGCAATTATTAACAGAAACAAGATAAAATGCTATTGTTGAGTTCCCCGACTATCAGATACCCGCTACTCAGCTGGTGGAAGTGCACTTTTTGGCAAATTTATAGAAATTAACTGATGCCTGTGTTATATATTAAAAAATGAAAAAATATCACATTTTCTAAAAGTGTGGATGTGACCGTTTTGGGCGTTTCTACATCATGACATCAAAAAAATTAAAAAAAAATTTTTTTTAAATAATTTTTAAATTTGAATGCAGAATTTTAGAGAAGTGCTCCAGAAATATTTAGAGGTATGCCACTTCAAAATCCGATTAAGATAAGTTGAGTTTAGAACTTCGCCTTAGGACATTTTCTTGAATTTCTACATTATCACATCAAAAAAATTTAAAAAAAAAAGATAGAATGCTATAGTCGAGTTCCCAGACTATCAGGTACTACTATACCCTTTTACTCTACGAGGAGCGGGTATAAAAGGAATATAACTTGATTGAGGAGCCCTTGGAAGTTAACCCACCTTCGCAGTGCTTCTTGTCGCTGTGCAGCTCGAATCCGATGCGGCAGCTGCACTCGTAGCCGCCCAGGGTGTTGATGCACTCGTGCTCGCATCCGTGGTTCTGGGTCTCGCACTCGTCCACCTCCTTCATGAACACGGCCGAGAAGCCCGCCTTCTGCACCGATGTGTCCGACACGAATTTCACGTACATCGAATTGCCACTTGACCTGCAAAGGGACGCCGAACAAAAGCAGAGTTCCTTCGTTTTAAAGAGGGGTGGGCGAAGGGGTGGGCTCTTCAGTGGCACTCACTTCATGTTCGGCGGCGGCTTGTAGCCACAGAAAACGCCAATTAGCGGCGCATCCTGGCCAGGACCGTCACGGACCTCGACGTAGTCGTAGACACAACTGTCGTGGTTCTCCACCTCGAAGGACTGGAATTTCAACGCCACCTGATAGCTCTCGGGCACAGTTATTTTCCACACACATTCCTTGTTGGGCAAATAGTCCAGCGGATAGTTGGGCGACTCCAAGCGGCCCACGGCATCGTCCACGGACAACTCGCCACCGCAAACAACTATGGAAACGGAATGTCAGGAACTTGCAGGCACCACTTTCATTCCCCATTTGCCCCATTTGTCCCATTCAGGCCACCCACTCACCATCGAACTCCGCTTTGAAGCCCCTGAAGCCCTCGTTGCGGTGTGTATTCACATAGGTGAGCAGCATGCGACTGGACTCCGTGCGGATCACCTCCTTGTCCACCTTGCCGCAGAAGCGCCCGATGAGCGGCGACTTCTCGAAGTAGCCATCCCGAATCTCCAGGTAGTCCGTTTCGCAGTTGTTCGACTTGAAGATGTTCTAGGGGGAAATTGAGAGTGTATGTGGGAATATAATTTAGTACAGTAGCTCCTAATTAGCCATACCATATTCTCCAGTTGGAGTTCCACTCTTTCTCCGTAGGTGGCTGTGATCCGCCACTCGCAGTGCTCCGTCTCATTGCTCAAAGCTCCGGCGGTGTAATGCGATGGCGAGGCAAAGATGCCGGAACTCTCCTGGAAGGTTCTTCCACACTTCGGACACTTGTACAGCAGATTGGCCTGGGCAATGTCGCCCTGGCTGAGGCGCAACCGCTGGCCAATCTCGGGACGCTTGCGACCCTTCATCTCGATGGGCAGGATGGTGTCCAGGTAGGTGCCCTTGGAGAAGGTGTTCCGCGCATAGTGCATGATCGAGTCATAGTCGTAGGCCATGCCCAGCGAGTCCACTTCGTCGGGGGACAGCATGTTGAAGTTGTAGTCCTGGCCCTTCATGATGTTGTTGTGCTCGATTACCACGTGCTTCTCCCGATCCGGACGTGTGTGCTCGTGCCAGAAGCCCACCACGTGACCCAGCTCATGGACCACAATGCCAAACTTGTCGCAATTTCTGCCGATTGAGATGGCCTGCGGCCCATTGCCACGTTTACCCACAAATGAGCAGCATCTGGTAGGGAATTAGGGATGGGATAGAATGATATTACCCAGGATGATAGTACCCAGGAGCCCAAACTCACCCGCAGCTGCGCACCGTGAACAC